ACGCGGTTCGATTAATCCCTTCTGATTCTCTTTCCGCGGCAAACTGGCCGACATTCCCCTCGAAAATGTAATTTCGACCAAGGAGAGGTCCCGTTTCACCGGGTAATTGCGTTTTCATATTTACGTTGCTCGGTTAATCAACCGGGGAAAAAGAAAAGGACATTGTACACCCGACAGACCTTTCACCGAGATTTTTCGCCGGAAGACAGCGCAAAGATACGGCGATAAACGGATATTAATGTTACTAGGGGTTGTTTAAAATATTCACTTCATTCAGCAATTTTTGAAATTATTACAATTTTTTATATTTTTATTATTAACTGAGGACTTGGATTTTTGTACTTCATTGCATGTTTTTGCTTTTTATTATTTTACTACAAGATTTTAATTTTTATTATTTGACTGCAAGATTTTGATTTTTATTATTTGTTTGCAAGGGTTTGATTTTTATTTCTTGACTGCAAGGTTTTGATTTTTATTTTTTGACTGCCAGGTTTTGATTTTTATTATTTGACTGCAAGATTTTCATTTTTATTATTTGTTTGCAAGGGTTTGACTTTTATTATTTGACTGCAAGGTTTTGATTTTTATTATTTGACTGCAAGATTTTAATTTTTATTATTTGACTGCGAGATATTGATTTATAAGATCCACAGTGAAAAGTGGCTATATAGGGAGAGGTAATATAAGGGTGGATATTTGTGAACAGTATACTGGTACTTTTTGTAATATCACATATTATAGTATCATAATATATGTTTTACTATTATCATACATTATACCATGCTTTATACTATCATTGTACTATTACCTCCTCCATCACCACGTGTTATAACAGCACATATAATACTCCCATCATACGTTGCATTATCATAAACAAATATTATAACACCATATTATAAGCATTATTATAACACCATAACTTTACATATGTTGTTACACATAAAAACTATAAATACATAAACACTATCATTACATGTCATATCCACGTGTTGCATCTCCCTCAAAAACTTCATTTTTAATACAACTAATTTCAAGAAGATGAAATATTGACGCGGTTTAACCTCATTTTTATTATTTGACTGCAAGATTTTGATTTTTATTATTTGACTGCAAAATTTTAATTTTTATTATTTGACTGCAAGATTTTGATTTTTATTATTTAACTGCAAGATATTGATTTATAAGATCCACAGTGAAAAGTGGCTATATAGGGAGAGGTAATATAAGGGTGGATATTTGTGAACAGTATACTGGTACTTTTTGTAATATCACATATTATAGTATCATAATATATGTTTTACTATTATCATACATTATACCATGCTTTATACTATCATTGTACTATTACCTCCTCCATCACCACGTGTTATAACAGCACATATAATACTCCCATCATACGTTGCATTATCATAAACAAATATTATAACACCATATTATAAGCATTATTATAACACCATAACTTTACATATGTTGTTACACATAAAAACTATAAATACATAAACACTATCATTACATGTCATATCCACGTGTTGCATCTCCCTCAAAAACTTCATTTTTAATACAACTAATTTCAAGAAGATGAAATATTGACGCGGTTTAACCTCGTCACACATCGTACACAGCGTTGAAATATTTTCATCGGAACCAGATACCTTTTTTTCTCTAAAGCTCTCGCGTGTAAGCTCGAAAGCTCAAGCCCGTGCTTATTAGCCTCATTTGCGATTTACTCGAGACGTTAACGATCTGCGCATCGAGTTCTTTTCAGGAACGCGCGAGAGGACACTTCAGCTAACGAAGCAACCTTCCGCTGCTTTTCTTCGAGCCCACGAATTGCGGATGAAATTACGATTTTCCTGCTCAAAGACATTTCCGTGATTGGAGCTTTCGATAAACAGGAGTAAGCGTCTATTTATTATCCATGCGTGAAATGTTTTTAGAGCCATGTTTCTTTCAATCAACCCTTTATTTCGTGATCTTTTCTGTTCTTTGGAAAATGATTTATAAACGCGTCAGCTTTAATGTGCGTTTGTTAGAAACAACCCCTTATTACACGACCTTTTTAAATTTTTGTGTAAAATGATTTATAAATATGCATTTAATGGAATCAACCCCTTGTTTCATGATCTTTAAAATTCTTTTTATAAAACTATTTCCAAACTTGCGTTTAATGGAATCAACCCCTTGTTTCATGATCTTTAAAATTCTTTTTATAAAACGATTTACAAACTTGCGTTTAATAGAATCAACCCCTTGTTACATGAATTTTTAAATGTTTGTACAAAATGATTTGTAAACATGCATTTAATGGAATCAACCCTTTGTTTCATGATTCTTAAAATTCTTTTTATAAAACTATTTCCAAACTTGCACTTAATAGAATCAACCCCTTGTTACATGTTTTTTTTAAATTTTTGTATAAAATGATTTGTAAACATGCATTTAATGGAATCAACCCTTTGTTTCATGATTCTTAAAATTCTTTTTATAAAACGATTTACAAACTTGCACTTAATAGAATCAACCCCTTGTTACATGAATTTTTAAATGTTTGTACAAAATGATTTGTAAACATGCATTTAATGGAATCAACCCTTTGTTTCATGATTCTTAAAATTCTTTTTATAAAACTATTTACAAACTTGCAGTTAATAGAATCAACCCCTTGTTACATGAATTTTTAAATGTTTATACAAAATGATTTGTAAACATGCATTTAATGGAATCAACCCTTTGTTTCATGATTCTTAAAATTCTTTTTATAAAACTATTTCAAAACTTGCATTTAATAAACTCAATCCCTTGTTACATGACTTCTTTTATTTTTCAAAAAATGATTTATAATCATGTTTACTGTGATACTGTACTATATGACTATTTTTTAAAAAGCAATTTATAAACATGCATTTAATGGAATTAACCCCTTGTTTCATTATTTTTTAATTTTTTTTATAAAATGGTTTACAAACATGCATTTAAAGAAGTCAGCTTCCTGTTACATGACTTCTTCAATTTTTTAAAAAATGATTCATAATCATGTTTGCTGTGATACTGTACTGCATGACTATTATTTAAAAAGCAATTTATAAACATGCATTTAATGGAATCAACCCTTTGTTTCGTGATTCTTAAAACTTTTTTTTTAAATGATTTACAAACATGCATTTAAAGAACTCAATTTCTTGTTACACGACTTCTTCAATTTTTTTTAGAAAATGATACATACTCATGTTTGCTGTGATACTGTACTACATGACTATTTTTTAAAAAGCAATTTATAAACATGCACCTATCAACATCAACCCTTTGATGCATTTGTTTCTGAAGTTTTAGTATAGTACTATAACGAGATAAAAAAAGGGAACTGCAGTAAAAATAGTAATGGTCAAAGATTACGATAGAAATTAGAAATTGCAAGAGTGGATGGCGATAGCCTTAAGCGACCAAAACTCATTACTTGTGCTATAGTTACCCGCGAATTATCCGGACCGGTCGATAAGACCGTCACCGTTGCTAATTGCTAGAATCGCACGTTTCTGCAGGTTACACCGCAAGTGCGAGGTAATTTAAGATGTAACGGGGAACACGACTAATTGGTCAATATTTGATGTTTCCCCAGGAAACTGGAATAACACCGGCTAATTCAAAGGCACTGTTAAGGGGACGAGCATAAGCGTAGCTATATCTCGCGTTTCTAAATAATTAGAAATATTTCATACGAATCTTCTCCTTCGGAAATGGTCTCGAGATCTTATTGAATCATCGTTATAGAACAGCGTTATCTGAACTCGAACAATTTATCCTTTCGCAATTATTCCTATTTATGGACGCTCATCTGTGCGGTACTTGGACTTTTCGATCGATACTATCAATTTTATCCATAAAACGTTCGTTATCCGGACAGATCGTTTGTACAAAACGATTTTAATAACTCTCTTCCGAATGCAAATAATAAAAATGGCCGAGGGATGTTTTATCTGATTTAATGTGCTCCGTATTTCTGCTAACTTTCCATTTCCATAGATGCGGAGATACACTGTTCTAAACAGAGCAACGTCCTCTCTCTTTTCGAGTGCTCTTTTGTCAAACATTTACACCTCACGTATTTTTACATTTACAGGTATTTTAAATCATGTATTTTAACATTTAGAATATTCGTACCTTTACAGAGCTACTCGTTCAAAGTCAGCTTATAATTTTTAATCAAACTAACCTCATACTTTTCACATGCGATGTTGACATTACATGAACATCGGTTCGTTTGACATTACATGTATTTATTACATTTAATAACTTTCATTTGACATAAAGATATATTATATCCAACATCAGTATCACTTGTAAAAATTTAGTCGTGTAACAAAAAGTCCACATTAAAAATTGACCTAACCCAACAAAATTAAAATACAATTCCATGAAACGTGCCTTCAGTTTCCATTTCCATTTTCATCCAATCAACATCAACGTAAAGATACATTATGTCCAACATCAGTATCACTTGTAAAAATTTAGTCGTGTAACAAAAAGTCCACATTAAAAATTGACCTAACCCAACAAAATTAAAATACAATTCCATGAAACGTGCCTTCAGTTTCCATTTCCATTTTCATCCAATCAAACGTCACTTTCTGGACAGGTGAAACGTACGAACGGATTGAAGATCGCTCGTATAACAAAAAATGGAGGACAGTTGACCACGCGAGGGGTCGAATCTTCGGCCGTAAAACGCGAACCGAAACGAGAATAAAAGCGAGCAATTAATGGAGAACGGGTCGAGCTGTTCGAGATTCTTATTATCTCGGCTCGTACGTCGTGGCCGACTGTTATTAACAGCGCTGCAATTCCGGCTCGTAGCGCGGGCAACTTTCCAGGCGGGCGAGGCCTCTTAAAAACGACACTTAAATCCTGTTACCCGCCACCGATAAAGCTCTCGAACAAGCCACCGGTCCGCTTAATTGCGGACGCATACACTTTACTTGCTTTTTCAAATGGACACCTACCTCGTCACCCTTTGCGTGGCGCCACCCAGGACGGAACCCTCTTCTTTCAATCCGGGGTAGATCTGAAAAAGAAATCACATCTTAGCATTTCTTAAATTGATTTTATAAGAAATACATTTCTTATAAAATTTTCATTTCTTGATTTTATAAGAAAAGTGTTTTCGATGATTGCCTAAAATGGTGTAGTCTTTACGAGCTTTCTTAACCTCCTAACCTATAATTTCCTGTAGTTGCGCCACACACAGCTAGTTTAATTATTGCTACAATGTAAGGCGACTGAAGAAAAATTCTACCTTCAGCAATACTTGATTGTGCAGACTATAATTAGAACTGAACTTAAAGTTCAACTGCAGTGAACATACGAGTATGGTTTGCTACATTCACGAGAGTGACGCCATATTGTAACAATGGTCTAAATTACTAATACCGAAACTGTCAGTTTATAGTGCATTAATTTATTTCAGTTTGTTGTGGATTAATTCATAGATTAATGCAGAAAGTACTAATATAGAAAGTAGTAGTTTAATATTGAAAGTTAATGACTTAATATTGAAGATTACTGCTGAAAATAATTGAAGTATCAACTTAACGAAAGAACCTCCGCGTCCGCCATTTTGTTTGCTCCCAGCGCCACCACTTACGCGCCTTCGTACCAAAAGTGAAATCAAGTCAACACCCAATGCATTTATACATTAAAATTAAAAACGAAGATAATGTAAAGTATTCTTATCATCGAATCAAGTTTCTCCGAAGAAATTCGGGGGACGTAGGAATGTAGGGACGTGGGAATTTGGGGACGTAGGAATTTGGGGACGTGGGAATTTGGGGACCTGGGAATTTGGGGACCTGGGAATTTCGGGACGCAAGAAGTTGGGGACCTGGGAATTTAGGGAACGTAGGAATTTCGGGACGTAGGAATTTGGGGACGTGGGAATTTGGGGACGTAGGAATTTCGGGACGTAAGAAGTTGGGGACGTAGGAATTTGGGGACGTGGGAATTTGGGGACGTAGGAATTTCGGGACGTGGGAATTTCGGGACGTAGGAATTTGGGGACGTGGGAATTTGGGGACGTGGAAATTTGGGGACGTAGGAATTTCGGGACGTAAGAAGTTGGGGACCTGGGAATTTAGGGAACGCAGGAATTTCGGGACGTAGGAATTTGGGGCCGTGGAAATTTTAGGATGTAGAAATTCGGGGGGCGCAGGAATTTCGGCTCGTAGGAATTCGGGGACATAGAACCTAACCTAACCTAACCACTTACACGCCTTCGTACCAAAAGTGAAATCAAGTCAACACCCAATGCATTTATACATTAAAATTAAAAACGAAGATAAAGTATCATCGAATCAAGTTTCTCCGAAGTTGAACGAACTCAGTAATCTCTCCAATTCGGTATCTGTTTGATCGCGAAGGATGTTCACGGTCTTCCGATGGATATTGCAAAATAATCAGCATCCACGAAAGCAGAACGCAAGCGTGCTTTTCCAGCGCGGTAGAGAAGGTGAAAATTCTGTAAAGGTCGAACGACGTTTACGCTAGCTCGCGTGTTTTCGTGCTCGGATACAAAAGAGAATTATGCAACTCGAGGATCGGTGCTGTTGCGCAATCCTCCGTCGAGTATCGAATGCAACTGCATCCTGTCTCTTCCTGTGCACGTGGTTGCGACCCACGAACCTTGTAAGACAACGTACTTCGATTTCGAATCGGAGACACGCTCGATGGGTTGTGAATATTCCAAAACGCGTTAGGTATTACTGTATCTTATTGGATGTTTAAAAATAATGTTCAATAATAATATGTTGCTTGTATAATATGGACACTGCTTTTTGATAACTTTGGAAGAGGTTTATATTTAAAAGGAAAAGGTGAAGGTCAATTTTAAAATAAATCTTCTACGTCATAAATAAATAAATGTAAATAAATCTTCTATGTCACCGACGTATGTATGAGAACTTTTAGACATCAGAAATTTGTGACATACTTTGAAACTGTTCAGAGTAGAATTTAAAGAATTAGGGACGTCAAAACTATAAAAGCTTGAAGTGCCAAAAATTCCAAGACTCCAAATTTTACAACAAAAATAATAAAGAAATTAAAACTTGAAATCTCACAATGTCTAAAACAGTGTTTAAAGAAAAGCATTCCTTAAATACAAGAATCAATAAACCTAAAAAGCTATGAAATAAAAAATGCTTGAAATAAACAGTGAAATAAAAAATGGTTATACTGCTAGAATAAAAATGATGAAAAGAAAGGGTACTTCGCACAGTAAGGTTATTGCAGGTTCGTTGAAGTTTGAGATATTCAGGAGAGGGTCGAGCACGGGTTGGTGCCTATGAATATAATTTCAAGTATTGTCCCGGAAAAATTGATTCCTTCACGCGTGCCGGCGTCCCTCTAATAAATATGAAAAATTAAATCCGCCAGCGAGCCGTCGTGCGCCGACACCGGTGAAATTAAATTGGACTTACAGGTGGCATTGACGGACACGAGCCGCGGGATCATTTAAATTTTAAAGCAGTCCCACGTGGCTGTCACGAACTTTGAATTCGAACAGTGGTTCCCATGTACGTCAAATGGTTCTTCAAATTTCATTCTCGTTTCGGTTGCATGGTTATAAATTAACTTATGACTCTTCGTTTTAATATCTTCTGACTTTTCATATTTTCTCGTGACGTTGATTTCTGTTTTATTTGGTTCTCTTTTTGAGTTGGGGATTGTTCTATTTTGGTGGTGGTGATTTGGGAAGTTTTGAATGTGCAAATTTTGGGATCTGATAGGAAATTATGTGGATTAGAGTGGTGTTCACGGATATAGCTAGGGGTACATCTAGGTTGTAGAGAAGTTTGAAGGAGATAGGTAAATATTACAAGAAATTCAAGGGTGTAGATGGGACTCCAAATCCCTACGACCCGAAATTCCCACGTCCCCAAATTCCTACGACCCAAAATTCCTACGTCCCCCAAATTTCCCCAAATTCTCACGTCCCCAAATTCCCACGTCCCCAAATTCTCACGTCCCCAAATTCCCACGTCCCCAAATTCCCACGTCCCCAAATTCCCACGTCCCCAAATTCCTACAACCCAAAATTCCTACGTCTCCCAAATTTCTACGTCCCCAAATTCCCACGCCCCCAAATCCCCACGTCCCCAAATTCCCACATCCCCAAATCCCCATGTCCCCAAATTCCTACGACCCGAAATTCCCACGTCCCCAAATTCCTACGTCCCCAAATTTCAACGTCCCTCGAATTTTTACGCGCCGAAATTCCTACGCACCCAAACTCCTATTATTCCAAATCTCTACTTCCCCAAATCTTTGCTCCCCCAAGTCTCTCTTTCCCCAAATTCCTACATCTCCCAAATTTTTACGTTCCCAAATTCCCACCTCCCCCAAATTTCTATTCCTAAACCATCAAGAATGTATAACTAACCTAAGAAAACCTTGAACATACAGTAATTTTTTCAACGCCCCAGAAACCTTGAATCTAAATATAAATTTATGAATATAATATGTTCACTACGTAATCAGTCAGTAATGATTATTAATTAATAAAATGTAATATCTTTTCCTTGTCACTTTCAGGATAGAATGTTGCAAAAGAACTTTGTACTAGACATTCATATTCATAAACTTTTTCAACCTAGTATTTTTAACAATTTGTTAACGCTCGCTACGAAATTCCCACGTCCCCAAATTCCTACGTCCCGAAATTCCTACGTCCCCCGAATTTTTACGCGCCGAAATTCCTACGCACCCAAACTCCTATTATTCCAAATCTCTACTTCCCCAAATCTTTGCTCCCCCAAGTCTCTCTTTCCCCAAATTCCTACATCTCCCAAATTTTTACGTTCCCAAATTCCCACCTCCCCCAAATTTCTATTCCTAAACCATCAAGAATGTATAACTAACCTAAGAAAACCTTGAACATACAGTAATTTTTTCAACGCCCCAGAAACCTTGAATCTAAATATAAATTTATGAATATAATATGTTCACTACGTAATCAGTCAGTAATGATTATTAATTAATAAAATGTAATATCTTTTCCTTGTCACTTTCAGGATAGAATGTTGCAAAAGAACTTTGTACTAGACATTCATATTCATAAACTTTTTCAACCTAGTATTTTTAACAATTTGTTAACGCTCGCTACGATCATTCTGAATCGTTGAACGTTTCCGCCGTGTCCTCGTCACATCGTTACACGCGAAGAACGTATCCGATCGACGTAGCTGGCAGGTTAAAAAGCAATTTTATTGTTAAGCCAGCTCGAGTTACCTTGCTTTACGTAATCGTGTCTCGACCGTTCCTTTCTTCGAGCACTCAGCATCGTTCTTGTGTTAATTAGAAAATTGCCGATCAAAAAATCTTTTCGTTTAAGCGTTTTCATTCATACCCGTCAATTTTGTTTGCCTTCCACCTAATTTTGGTTGATATTCTATGACTGTGAGGAAGATTTGGGAGATTTTAACTTGGGGATATGGAGGCAAGGGAATATTGGAGTTTAGAGATTTTGGGGGATGGGAATTTTGGACGCGTAGAAATTTCGGGACGTAGGAATTCGGGGACGTGAGAATTCAGGGAACGTAGGAATTCGGGGGACGTAGGAATTTAGGGACGTAGGAATTTCGGGACGTGGGAATTTGGGGGAGGTTGGAATTTCGGGACGTGGTAATTTGGGGACGTGAGAATTTCGGGACGTGGGAATTTGGGGGAGGTTGGAATTTCGGGACGTGGTAATTTGGGAACGTGAGAATTTCGGGACGTAGGAATTTCGGGACGTGGGAATTTGGGGGAGGTTGAAATTTCGGGACGTGGGAATTTGGGGACGTGGGGATTTGGGGATGTGGGAATTTGGGAACGTGGGAATTTGGAGACGTAGAAATTTGGGGGACGTAGGAATTTAGGGACGTGGGAATTTGGGGACCTGGGAATTTGGGGACGTAGGAATTTCGGGACGTATAGGAATTTTGGGACGTAGGAATTTAGGGATGTTGAAATTCGGGGGACGTAGGAATTTCAACTCGTAGGAATTTGGGAACGTGGGAATTTGGGGAC